GAAACGGATTCGAACGACGTCGGGATAGTCGATCGATTGTTCGATTGAAAACGATCGGTCCGTTTAGTAACTGAACCGTTCGTTCAACTCGACTGAACCGCTAACGCACGTGTAAAGGCGGTCTGCCGGATCGCTCTGTGCGACTCGGGATGATAAGACGACGACAGGTGAATACGCGAAAGACTGTTGGCTGCACTCGGACGGGTTCGGACAAAGAAGGATCCACAGTAAGAGAACTGCGGGACAAGCTATTTTCAAGAGGCCATTTATTAGGGCTGAAACTGGATTATAAATGTAACCTTGTGGCAAAAAGAAAAAAAGCGCTACAATATCATATAATGTGTTTATTTAAGTAAATTCATAATTGTCAGTGAAATATTCATATTTATTATTTATGTAGGAGTCCTACATGGTTTGGAGATGTTTTACAGTACCGTATAATCAAACCGGTGGCGCGATTTGGGGGACGGGAACCGGGACATTTATCTTGGTCGAGTATTAATTTCGACGCACTTAAAGAAGGCCGATTTCGTCAACAAATATTAACCGTGGGTGAACTGAGCTCCTGACCCATCATAACCCCGTGGATTCGCCATTGGGCTCGGAGTGGGCGAAAAACTACGTAACTTGTTTGTAAGCTTACCGTTGCGGTCAGCGTGTGACGGCTGCGTTCGGCGCGCGTTCGTTGCTGCGCGAGTGGAAGTGCAGAAGCACGTGGCACGTGCGGTGCTGGAGTGCGTAGTTCGCGCGGCCGTTGCCGTTACGTCCTGGCCGTAATACGCGGTACCCACGTTCGACGCGCGTACGTGTGCACCGGCTAACGCGCGGCGTCGTGTGTGGATAGCACGTGGTGACGTGCCGCCGACTACTGACCGCCTCGGGGACGCGCGCGCGAGCGTGAGCTGCGGGTACAACACGTACGTGGTACACGCGTGTACGTATGCGATGTACGGATACGGCGTATGTGCGCACATGTGTGTCGCGCGTACGTGTACGCGTTCGGTGTGCACACGCGTGCACGTCGACGGGCGCGCGCGTGCGCGGCCGCGTCCACCTCACCCTCCCCCCCCCCCCCTCCACCCCCGTCGCACGTGGCCGCGGCCGGCGGGTGGCGCCCGACGCGCCGCCCTCTGCCGACGCCGCCCGCACTCGCGACCATCGGAACACCGCGGCCGAGATTGGCGCGCGATGGGCGGCGGCAGAGCTTTTGGCCGGAACAATAAACATACGACGCGTCAACGACTAAAGCGGCACGGTTTGCGCGCGGGTGTTATTCGAACACGTTTTCGGCCCAGGCAACCGTCGTGCAGGTCCGACTGTTGCGGTAACGGAAAACGGACCGTCAACTCGTCCGCGCGTTCGTAGGAAAAGCGAATTATTGTTTCAGGTGTTGATCGCGCGGCATGTTCACCACCGAGTGCGTTTACACGATGCGCAGGGTAAATTATTAACCGCAAACAACGCCCAGGGTTTGAATCGACGCGCGAGAAGTGGTCCGCGTACCGGAAAAAGTTCACAGCGCGTTCGCTGTGATTCTCCTCGGGACCCGCGATTCGCTGCGCCGGTCTCGTACGCAGCGTAGTCGTCGGAGTGGTTATAAACGAGCGCGGGCGGGGACGGGTAAGAACGATGTTCAGATCGCGTAATCGTGTACTCCGCCAGTGCTCTAACCACTTAAACGTGATTTTAACCATCGGAGAAATACGATCTCGTTTAATACGTCCGTCTTTCCTTCAAAACACTCGTCGTACGTAAAATTGTTTATCATTTTTTTTCCCCCGTATACTACGACCGTTTCCCGCCTGTGATGAGGTAAAAAAATAATTTTCTATTAAGTACACCGTGTCACGCACATTAAATAGAACATACTTTGTAGAACACCAATACACCAACGCATTGTTGTACTCAAATTGTTTTTCCTTCGAAGATGTGCACATCAACGGATAGGTGCTGAGGTACCGTACACGATTTACAACAATAACGGTTTTAAACATATTTGTCGATGAACACCTAGGATATACTCGTACATATTTCATATTATAAACGATCGGTTAGGTTAGGCAGATAACGAGGCGAGCGTGATGGCTGCGATTTCAAAAAAATTATTTTTATTTACGTTAATTGAACATCAGTTTTTTTTTTTTATTTGTATTCAATAATATGTTTTTTTTTTCAAACATTTTAGTGTCGTATACGATTCTTGACACGTGAATAGAGAGGAACTAAAAATTAAGTACTTCTGAGTCAAGTTTTTATTCTCCACGTGCGGTGTATAATGGTGTCGTCTGAAATTTGGCATATGCGTGAAAAGCTTCTCGAATTCATAATAATTTTACTCCAGTGATGCTCAACTTTTGTTTCTCGGCGGACCACGTCGGTAAACAATTATCTTCTGGCGGGCGGCGTTTACTAGTTGGGTCCCGAAGACCTTTATTTAGTCTAGTTAGGTCCCAGTGTTTTTCAGATAGTGCACTAGTTGGGTCCCACGATTTTACAAGTACTACTCTAGTTGGGCCCATTGCTGTCAATTACCTATATATTAGAACACAGGTATGATTTTTTTTTTTAAGTTTCTTATATATGGTATATAATTGAAAATTAATACTGGTATGTAGTAAATAAATAAATCAAATAATTAAAAAATGTACACAATTGGTAAACATTTAAATGATAGAGCTTTTACAAACTCAAATCTATTAATTTTGTCGCGTCCCGCGTAGTCACACGGTAAAACACATCACAACATCACAAGGAGGTTCCCATGTACATCAAAAACCACAACTATGGATAAGTTAGATTATTGTGTTCACGTGGTTATTACACTAGAGATTACAATAAGGAATTAGAATATCGAAATCACAAGCGTGGACAAGTGAAAGGGTTCACATAAACGTTTTTCTGGGAAATTGAAATAAAATAGTTTATCGGAATGATGTAGTGACCACATCCTGGGCATTTGCGTCAATAATTATGTCATGGTCTGGAGATAACGCACACACACTCACAATTTATAGGAAATTATCTTATTTTATTATCTTATTCATTTACACACACACATTTGGGATTTTACACACACACATACAATATCACATATAAAAGGGACCCGAAAACAAGGGCAAATCAGACGAGTCTTGTCTATGCTGCACTGAGCACCTTCACGTCAGTGTATGTTATGGTCTGGACTTAGAAATATTTCCAATTATTTTATAAGTTTAATTGTTAGGACTTAAATAATTTCTATCACTAGAATATTTACAAAATTTGTAGTTAAAATAATTTTTATAAGTTAAATAAATTTAATTATTTTAAAAAGAAGTCTTAATTATTCCTGACTACACTTCCACACAAGCGTTGACTGAGACGTTGTAACTGAATTAACGGATCAAACGGTTGGCACGTAACAATTTTTTAACATTATCAAGTAAATAAATACTTGTAAGTTACAAGTTTTATTGTCGTAGTGATCGAACCCAACCCGTATGTTATTGTATTTATAATCGAACCCAATTAGTTGTTAATCTTTATCATAAATATTATCTGGGACCTAACTCGGATACGCCCCCGGCGGGCAATCAAATATAAAGGTACGAATAATGTTAACATTTATCTAATAATATAGGTCTGTTACACGTAGAAGGTATGCAAAATATATGTAGAAACAAATTGGACTTGTTTTCATAATATTTGTTTTCTATATTATTATCGTTTATTAACTGGAGTCCAAGTCGAATTATTGGTCGAATGTTGTTATGACGGACAAAATCGCGTTTCCAATATTTAAAAGCACATATTTCATCAGCGTTTATCGATCTGGGTACTGGAGTACTTGTGAGAGAACCTGTTCACAAATTTATCATGTACTGTTTAACTATAAGAACAAGACTTTGATTTTTTTCTTTCCACGAAGTGTATTTGACATGTATCATCGACATAATATTTAATAAAAACATCAAACGTTTTACGTGTGTTGATGATAACATATAACTCGATATGGCTACACTAAATTGTTATAAAATCGAAAGTAGGCGTTGACTTGTTGGTTCATTTCCCAGTTAACTGAAGCTGTTTGAAAACCCATGATCTTAATTAACTTAGTATAAAGTTATTAGAACTTGGTCGAGTTTAAAATTATTTTTTAATTATTACAATTTAAAGCGGAAAAAACGGTAAAACTGTGGACATTATTATTTCGTACTTGAATATTAAATTATTTAATTATTAAAAAGGAACGCAACTTGTTCATTTTTTTTTTTTTTTTTTACATGAGTCAAATTTATATTTTTATAGAATTAAATTTTAAACTTAACAGTTAAATACATAGTTTATTAATTGTTTCTATTGTTGTCTTAACTTGACACAAGATAATTGTTTTCAATGTGAATTGTCTACCTATGGCTGTGAATTTATGTAATATTTATTCACAAGACGAAATATCAATACTATACTTGACGGTTGAGTAAACACAATGTTATTTTAATATACATATTATATGGGAACCTAAAGTTAGAACAAAAACCTCTCCGTCCTTGAGATAATCAAATCCGACAAATCTATGAAAATTGTTTTATAATAATTTTGTTACGTACATCAATCGCAAAAGCGGTATATAACCAAAAATACGAATTAAAACCGATTGATTTTTATCGTTTTAATGCAACGGAAGTACGAAGTAGGTTTTTTACATAATTAATATCCCGTACTTAGATGGCAGTAAAAAAAAAAATAAATAAATAAAAGTACAATAGCTACTGTAAATTAAAAACACTAGGTATACACCGGGTAATCGAAGGTTACCTAATTACATATATATATATATATATATATAAACGTACATTTGAAGTAAATAAATTGGTATGGTTGTTACTATCAAAAAAAAAAAAAACAAATTTAAAAAATACTGAGTTCAACAAAATTTAAATTTTCGATAAAAAAATATTAATTATATATTTTTTTTCCATAGTAAAATTATTCATCAACAAGTAGGTACAATAACACGCGTGTTTAAAACAATATATGATGTTGTATTAGTGTATTCCACTCTTTTTACCTTACTTGTTAATTGTTTTTTTTAATTTTTTTTAATTTTTTTTTAATTTTTTTTTAATTTTTTTTATTTTACTATTTAATTTTTTTTTGTCCGACGATCCTTTTTTGATATTGTTGCTTGATGAGTCGGCGCGCGATCGCGTCTCGATGATGAAAAATAGTTGCAGTTTGGTAGTTTCATTTTTTCACGAAATCGTTCACTGTTCTCAACGGGTAGACTTGCGTGAACGGGTTGTATGGTTTGTAAAAGTTTTGTTTGATCAAATTTTGTTGGACCTCCGCTTTCAATATCACAACGCCTGTTGACAATTACGATAATAATATTAATACATTGGCTACAACACGTTCTCAACGGAAATATATAGTGTATGTTTTCTATGCCGTATTCTATTGTTCACACAATGTAATATTTTACCGGACGTATTTTATGCTACACTTTTATTATTTTTCCGTAGTATTATTATTTTAAAATCATATTTTAGACTATCATCGCCGTCAAAGCTATACATATACTGCGTATCCACTACTACGTTTAAATTAAAATATACCGTCAAAGACCGCCATCTCATTATTATGTAAAACTCGTTCTATATAAAAATAAAATGTAGATCACATTTTCCGGCTACTCGAGTAAATCGTGGTGTAATAGTAGGGCAACTGTTTGACATTTTTTTTATTTTGTTTTATTTTTTTTATGCAAGACATCATACAGATGATGTAGAGCTGTTGTACGAGTAGTAGGAGAATGACGTGCAATCATGCAAAATATTTCGGTTGATCGTATTATTTACGTAGTATAAATCATGTCAACGTAAATATATAATATACATCCGCGTTGATATTATACATGCGAGTATCCGCGTTTTACTTTTAAAAATAATGCAAATTAGTCGTGAAGTCGATTTTCGATGTTACGCAAAAATAATCGTAACATGATAAGTGTTCACGTTACGAGTTGTGACGTCCAAAACGGTGTGATACATCCAATAGTGTAGTAAATAATACTATGATATAGGGACTAAGAATAGTACGGCAGTATGTAATACTATTGTTATTAAATTCGCATATGTACACCGGCGTACGTAACGGTAGTAATACCCGGAAGGGAAAAATGCGCGTAAAACGTATCGGATCATATCGTATTTCTATCCAACATGTCGGACTGCACGAAAATTTGAGCTTGATTACTATCGTGGTTCACATTTGTTCAATTTTTCACGCGGAAAAAGTAAGCAAGAAATTGCAATATTGGACATTTACGGACATGCGTGTTTGCAAAACGCACAAAAAAAAAAAAATAACCCGATTACACGTGATTTCAAATGAAAAATGTATTGCCTCGAATAACCGAAAATAAACTTCCCTAGAAAAGTTCACGGTTAATATTCAAAAATAAAATAAATTTCAAATTCGTTTTAAATCGAAACATTAAAAGCAGTTTACATGTACAATTATTTGATACACATTAAATATTTTTTTATTACATCGTTATTGTGTTATAAGAGTAGGAAAAAATAAATACCGACATCGTTAAAGATCACTTTACTACAGTTTGATGGGTACGTTTACAGCTGAATGGTATTTGATTTCCTACCCAACTACTGAAAATTGAACATCGTGTTCTTCTAATTCCGGTGCAATGTAAGGATATAATAGGATCCGCCGACTACCGAGGAGTGATGTTTGAAAATGTGAAAAAGTGTGTTTTGTACGCATATTTAAAAACAAAACTATATCACCGGTATTATAAAAGCGTAAGAATGATTTCGAAGTAAATAATAACGACCTAAATATGCGAATAAAAAATAATCATTTTAAACTCGATGATGACTGCATCGAATTTCTTACCGGAAATTGTACGTACGAAATCTTAAGACCTTTACTGCTATATACGTATAACTGCGAGAGTATCTATCGTATACGCTCGTAAGTATATGTTATTTGTTGCTCGTTTCAACGTGGACATGACACAGTGGAGCAATAATAATATATACCGCTCGCTCGTTCGCGATCGATGGAAACAATAACAAAGGGGTTTTTTTTTACTTCTAAACGATGATGACTAGTCGAAACCATTCTAGAATGGGAAAACAATGTCATCGACAGAGATAACGCGCGATATCCTGCGTATATTATATTGTATACACCTAGGCGAAGGCACGCTTACGGAACCAACGGAGAACGAGGAGACGGAGGAGGAGGACACGCGCAATAATAGCGCGCACGTGTGATCTGTATCGGAGAAACCGCGCATTGGTCCGAGATGGTCGATAAAACACCGTTGTACATTGTGTATATATATAGTAAATACATTATTATTATTATTGTAATAATTCTGTAATAATTCTGAGTGATTACGCGACTTCGGCGACTGCAGCGGTCTAAGTCCATAGGCGTTAAAGATTTAAACCTATCGACGCGAAAATATGTGAAGTAATATTATTAAAGCAAAATTAAGGATAACATTTAAAACATGTCTTCACTATATGTATATATATATTCCGTAATCTTAAGTCTGTATCTAATAAAATTTTCTTTTTTCATATTTTTAAAAAAAAAAAACAATAAGAATATAAATGTACACTTAACGTACCCTTATACATTATAATGATATCATAAACTTGAATATTTAATTGTTTACATTTAAAATGAAATCGAATTCTTTTTTTTTGTCGGAACTCAAATGATTTAAAAAAGAATCAATTGTTCATCGATTGTTAATACAATTACCGTTCTCTAAAGATGCAGTATAATTTCCAAAAGGTTTTGACTTTTGTTGGCGTTATCAATTATGATATTTGAAATGTTCTTGGGTTTCCTTGGCCTATTTTTTTATTCGGTTTATAGGTACTATCAAAACGATAAATGTAGCTCCTTACACCCCATCCAGAAATTAAACCAAATGTTTGATTAATGTTGAATAGATACTATTTAGGTAATATTTATTATAATTATCTGCGTATGTCTATACATTATATAATTTATGTATACAAGTACAATAGTTCCGCAGTACCTACGATACATCAGGGATGGCAAATCCATGGATTGATGAATGGATTAATCTCGGGCACGCATGCATGAGATGGCCCAAAAAAATTTAAATATTTATATTATATTTTTATTTTTAATAATAAATTATAACATCACATTGTTAATAACGGTTTACTATTATTGGCATCTCACAAAAATTAAATTGTAAATTCGTATAGAATGTAAACAATGTACTAAACGTAACATGATGCAATACGTATATAGTAGCATTAGCAAATTTTCTATTTTACTATTAGGTATATATTTTTTCTTCAACTTTTTCATGTAAGTCACTATTATCAAAAATTAATTTTATAAAATCTGTTTTAATAGACAGACTTTTTGATAAATATAGTACCCATAGGCATAAATTGGGAGGACAACGGGGAGCAATTCCCCCTCTAGAATAAATTAGGAGGGGCAGTGCTCTCTCTGATATTTAACATACCTTGTTTTAAATAAATACAAAACAGCTGGTTATAGCTATTACTATAACATTTTATTTTTAAAATCTTAATTTTAAATTTTCGTTTATCTAACATAATGTTAGAAAATGAATAATTTTATATAATAATATGTAGGTAGTAAAGCGGCGTTTGGCCTCGGACACCCTTTTCGTTAGGTATGTAATTATATTTTTGCCCCCCCCCCCCACCCCCAGAGATGTTTCCAAGTTACTTCTATGATGTTACCATATGTACTTTATTAAAAGTTACTTATTATAAATCAAATATCAACGAATTGACTACTCAAAAAAATAAATCGCATTAAGATGATGAATAGTTATCAAAGTAATGCAAGTAAATATTTATTTAAGTATAACATTTTTTATATTAATACTTTAATAATAAATGTTTCTTATTATATTTATAATGTATACACACATATGGTATTTTTTCATAATATTTAATGGCATGCTCAAAGGAAAAAAGGTAATTTTAGGTACATAACGTCAAAATAATCTGCCACACCTGATCTATATACATGTAACCGTGTTTATCGACACCATCTCATATTACATTTACATCACAATTGTCTACCAAGGTGTAGAGTGTTAGTACGGAATACTGAGTATCCAGAATAAGGATGATTTTTTTATTTTTATAGCGAACGGAAATATTCGAAAAACGTATCGTTATAGATTAAAAATTGAAAATTCAGTTTCGAAAGATAACTATTATCTAGAAATTAAAATGACATTCGTATTAAACATAGTATTATTTCCGTTTCTATGTGGAAATAAAATTAATATTATTCCATCGCGAGAATAAAATACTATGTAATGATTATTCCTAGGATAGAAAGTATTGAAAATAAAAATACGAATATACTAGAACTGTATTTCGGGATAGGAAAAAATCACTTTTTAACCGCACTCCATGCGACTATGAGTAGAAGATAACGACACTGATTACAAGTTTATTATAATATAATAGTTGCACCGCGTTTTTTGACGGTTGAGCAATTCGATGAATGATTCAGAAATCGATTTTTGCGCAAAATATCGGCTTCCGTTCCGGCTTGACTTTAAATCTGTCTGAAGTTAATCGGCGATACTGGTTTTACTTTTCCTTTAAATCATTGCAGGTACTCATCGCATAATGATTCCTTACATTTGTAGAAAAAGTCTTCTAAACGCCAATATTAGTTATTTGCTGCTCGAATATCTTTCATAATATTGAACCTAAGAAAATACATATTTTGTCCCCAGAATGATATCAATTATTTCTGATAAGATACCCGATGATATATTTTCATCCCGAATATTGAATTATTTTTGGAAACCGTGAATAACAATTTGAAAATATTTATTCTTAATGGCATACATGTTTTTAGGTTTTTTTTTCTTTAGCAATAATTGCCATTTTAACATTATATTTGTTCATAGAAAAATACCCGTTTGACCGCATTGAAATAAAATACAATTTTCTTCCTTAAATTACTACTGATTTAAATGGACTTACCGGTGGGATTCACTTTGACCTTGATTTTTGTTTGTGGGGACAGTACTCCATAGTCGACGTCTTCGTACAGATCCTGCGTAAGACAAAAAATTATAAAAATAAATATATTCGAACTCTATATGACGCTATAACGGAGGGTACGTTCAAAAGCATTATATATTACTTGTATTCTGTATCCTGTGGGTGACAGCAGACCCATTTCGTGTAAAGCGACAGCCACGTCAGATGGCGTGCCGTCTGTTCTGCGGTTGACGAAGGCGAGTGCGTACGAGAAGTAGTTCTCGAAAATAGGTGTCACCGGCCGGGCCCAAATTTCAATGCCTTTGTGCTGTAATTATTATCGTTATTACATTGGTAAAAGAGTCATTATTTTACAATTTAAATGTTTTATTTTTATTTTTTGATTGCTAATCATAAAAAATAGTTGTGGACCGGTAGCAGTGTAGGTACACAAACGAAAGTATCAAGAGGTTCTTGTTTATTTTTAAATAAAACTGAAGTATACGTCGAAAATATGATATGCCCGTTAGTTGAATTGTTATAGTAAAACAGCGGCAGTAAATCGGTTTCGTCTATTTTTGGATTTGAGAAAAGGCTCATAGAATGTATTTTAATCATATTATTCGTACGCTGTGAAAAAAAAAAACGTTGCGCTTAAGATTGCGACGAGTAAACGGAGATTTAAACGTGTTACGTAGAAGTTAGTCATCTATCAAATCTAACCGTTGTGATTGTATTGTTAACACCAAAAAACCAAATCCCACGGTTACGAAGAAACTGATTAAATATTTTATTACCATTCATTATTTCATGATTTCCGTGAGACCACACTATTTTTACACGTAGAAACCAATAGTCCAACAAGTGTTTTGTACACATGATTTTTATGGAAACTAATTTATTCAGGATTTTTTTATTTATTCGGAAACCAATTCTGTATGGCCCTATTAAACTTGTTATATTTTACATTTGGTTTTAATTCAATCTGTAGTTGTCGCTAAACCATTATATTCAATTATTTCTACATCGGTTTTTGTGTACATAGAATATATAAAGTAAAACATTTTAAAAAGTTATTAAAATCCTATCCCTAATAATGTCCATGCTAACCACATTATCAGTGCCATAATGATGTAATGATGCTATAATGATAATAATAAAACGGTACCTAGCAAATTAAATTCAAACTGCCGTAGAGCTTCAAAATTATATTTACTCAACTTCATGAAAAATCCCATTATTTCTTGTATAATTTAAATATGTTTACGTTGATTTATACTGAAAAGCAATATTTATACAGTAAAATTATTTCCGTATAAAAAGTTACATTTATGAATAATATTGCATCCAATTATCATAATTGGTCGGAAACGATTCGAGTATACGTTTGCACGTAATTAGTAAAAGTTGAAAATATTACGATTTTCCACCGATTTTTCGATTAAGCGTCGTTATCGTCTATTCCCGATTAATGGTGAGTATAGATTCCGGTTCGGATAATTTATAATATACATTTGATCTTTCTCGGCTATCACTCGCTGTGTTGTAGAATGTAATATTGAATAACTCATTGATTTTACTATATAAATAATCACTGAAAACGGCTATTTAAGATGTGGCTGTTAGTGCGGATATAATTATAATATCGTCTCGGTGATATCTAGCAAAACTGATTCGATTGAATCACAACCAGCCACAATTACCAATTCATATAATCAGCAAGTCGGAAATGCTTGTTTTGCTTTCAAATGTGGTTTACGTTGGTAGTTTAACTAATTTTTTTAAATAAAAATAAAATAACTTCAACCGAAATTCTTCATTTAATATACATTGTAAACGTAATCGAATTTTAATATTATATTTTTCACGCATGCGTCATACGATACAGAGAAATATCTAACGAATATTATTGAACAATAAATTATATAGAACAAAAAATTGAAATTTATATATATACTGATATTTTTGAATACAATTTAATATTATTGAATACAAATTTGTTATTTTTTTTATCGTGATATTTAATCGTTTTATAGTTAAAAATAATTTGAAATAAATACAACATAATATTAAGTATTATAATACTTCATAAACCTCTTTTTATTTGGTTTTGAGAAAAAGTATTATTTTTTTAAGCTTTTTTTATGAGACTACTGAATCGTCTCATTAAAATTTTGTCGTCAATGTTTTGTGTATATCTTTCATAATATAGAACGAAATTAATTTATTTTATACTCAAAAGCTTTGATGGAAATACAATGTCTTCACTATGAATTTGTTTGATCTTTTGAAAACTTAAAATGTATATTAAATCCGTTATACATCTTAAAAATTAGTCACTTGATTATTTATTTTTAGGGAAATAAAATCTGAGTATATTTGATAGGTTTTCACCGCAGTCAAAATATAATTCCGCGAGAAAAATTTTTTACAATGTGTAATAAAATTAAAAACCAACATTCATGATGTACATTGTAAAAATATTGCGCTAATCGTATACGTCATGTAAATGCGGACATTGTAAGTCAAAATAATTATAGTGCTGATTTAATTATACATTTGGTTAAGTATTCATCTCGAGAAGTGTATAGTATCCATTTTTACTTATTTTCGGTAGATTTTATGTAATGTATATTCCTAACAAAATGTCTCGAAGGATTATGTAAATCAAAATAATTTACTGGTACACATAATTGTAACAATTGACCTTGTAAATCCTTCGACCTTGGATTCCCAACTTGTCTTGATCGATGGCAATGATTTTTTTGTTCTGTAAAATAGCCTTGTATTCGGGTCTAATGGTCCTCAAATCGGTCGACATGAGCAGCGGGGCGGCAAGTATAGCCCATATGGCCATCTGTACCTTACACTGTTCGTAACTTAATCCAAAGTTACCAATAATCAACTACATATAAGACATATGAAAATGCGTTATTATTTTTGCTCCGTCAAATATTTAACTACATTTACTTTTTTTTAAGTATATATTACATACTTAAAAAAAGGTAAATGTATTTGATCGAATATATTATTTTCGATCAAATACATATGAGTAATTGTGTCTCTATTTAATATATATATATATATATATACGAGTACATAAAAGTATTAAAAATATGATAATCAAGGATAGTTTATAAAGAAAAAAATATGAGCATCGAATAAAAGATCAATTTGAGCAGACCGCGATACCATCGCTCATCATTACCGCATTCGTATTTTTTTCATTAAATCTTGAACAAATAGATTGGATTTCTATCTTTAACATGATATGTTCATATCATAAATAATATTATATTACCATGTCCGGGTCGTTCCAATGTCCGGGGGCTGCATTGGCTGCGATAATTTCTTGGTTATCGCCGTAGTAGTCGATTATGCTCTCCACACTGGCCCAGGAGTCTTGGATGTCGTCAAAATTTCTCCACAAGTTGCACCTTTGAGTAATAGCCGAATAGTTGGGCTGCATATGTAAAAACAGAAAAATAAACATTAATGTTTACATTTGAAAATGCCCGGCTGCCTTTGCGCTCATTGTATAATGTAATCGAAATCCGTAGCGCCATCTACGGTAGACTTTTGAGCGTATCGTATACGGGTTATATTAATTTCAATTCGTGCCATGTCCTACTGACAATGTAGAGGGCGATAAAAGTAACAAAGCAAGAAAATATTCAATCTAAATCGTCAATGACCATGATAAAATATTATAATAATAGCTTGTATAAGATGATCAGAATTCGAGACGAAAATACTTGAATTGCAAACAAATACCTCTACAAACACAAGATACTGTCTAAAGAAATAATTTTTAACAAAAAAAAAAAAAAAAAATTGTTCTTTACTTTTATAGAGTTTGTGAAATTGATTTTTTAGTTACGAGTTTATTACATATAATTGATATAATTATTTTATTGCAAATTTACGTGAGCAGGTATTCTCTACATTGCTTTAATTTGCTTGTAATTTATTTTCAACGTACAATTTGTTTTATGTATAAATGTATATATAATTTTGGTCATTAAACACACAATCTATAAAAGGACACAAAGCAATTTATTTTACATTGGACAATATTTGAATTGAAGTATTATAATTAGACACCCTTAATAGTTCAAGATCGTATTGTTTTTTAGTCAAATGTTGGGCTAAATCAATGATAGTTAAAAATGTCTGATATTATAATATTAAAATGTATAGTAAATTACGAAATAACTAGTACATTTTCCTTCCGAAATGTAAACGGGGTCCTAAAGTGTATGTCTGAGAGTATGAAGCTTGTATTTTAAGGAAAAGTTGTTCCCATGAATTTAAACTTCAAAATTCTCGGATGTAGTTATAAAAAAATTTTATTTACATATGAAATTTTTAATATATAAAATTACTGTATAATATACTCAAGAAATATACATTCAAATAAATAAAATGACCGAAAAATACTAAAAAATGCTCGTAAAATGAAAAAACTTTGAAAAAATGTAAAAAAAAGAATAAAAAAAATAAATGCATTTCGCATTGAAATCCGAACCCTAATAATAATGATAACGGACAGAACTCATTGAAATTACATGAATACAACATGTACGTAAATTATAACGAACAGGCACCACGCCTTTACTACAACTCGTACGGGCTACAACGTATTATAACATAAAGCGTACGTTTTGCGAACAAGCTCGTAACAAAAAACAACTAGTAACTTAGTTGCTAATACAACTGCTGCTGTTGTTATTCTCGTCGTCTGAAACCTTTCTAAGATTTTAAAAATTTTTCACGGTTATCCAATTGCACCGCAAACACATGCGCGTATTACGGTACAATAGTGATAATAATATAATGCTCCGGAGATAGGTAAGTCGGTAGGTATACGAACACTGCAATGACCACTGAACGTTCCCAATGCACTTTCTATACGTCATAAACGTAACACAAGAGTATTTAATGCTTGGAGGCCGGGCGGCGTCCGTTCGCGCGTTAAGTGTTTCCTGTTCACCCGTAGGGATATTATTATAATATTCACACGCGCGTGTTGTTAGAAAAAAAAAAAAGAAAAAAACTAAACGCAAGTATGTTTGAGTGTGTGTATGCGTGTGATTGCCGTTTATTATGATATCGAGACGACCACTCTGTATATCGTAATACGAACCGCTGCTAGTCGGTCACACGGTTTGAAACACCGTATTATCCTTTGGCCGTCAAATGTTCCGATACTATAGTCAAACATTATTATTGTTATGTACCACGTTATATTAGCTATATACGTTACGGACTTAATAACCGAAATAATAATATACATGCACACATACACGCATGCGCATACAAAGCGATCGACGATTTGCGTTATGGAAAAGCCAATGAGAATGATATTGTTGAAAGATAGTGTTCCAACATTTATTTGGTCTTTCCGTCTCGAAATTATGTATAAGCGAAAAAATGTTTAAAATATGCTCAACAGTATATATTATAATATTTTTAAAGTTATTATTTCCAAAAACACGCTTCTTTTTATTACTATAGCTCCGAACAGTGAGACGTTATGATGTATTTCATCTATTTTTTGGGAACCAAAAAAATAATTATAACTAACCACATTCGGTTTAAACATAAATCAATATTGTGTACGATAAAAACAATAAAAAATGTAAATTTGTGTATTTTTTCGAATTGTCAGTATATTTTGTTTTGTCTGATTTTCGGAATCGAACAACTCGGGTACAGGACAATAGAGGATAGAAACCCTACGTTTCGATTAGACCCCGATAGTATGATAGTATGGATCTAGAAAATGATTCCAAATTAACAACACCACGGGTTTCTATCATACATTACTCTATATAAAAATATATTTATGAAGGTGTTAATGTGTAATGGGATATAATAACACATGGACGCGTTGTAACCAATTAACGATATAATATAAATCGTATTAGGTTTACGTCACGCAGACGAATCGCGGTTATATAATTATTACGCATCCAGCGGTAGCTATAATATACACATGACGAAAGTATAGGGTACGTTGTACAGATTACGATCATTACTTGTAGTCCTGCGTACGTCTGATAAACCGGCCAACTGCAAGAGTACACCATGGGCCTGCCGGTCTTGTTCAGATAATAACCGAACTCACTGTATCCTGTAAACGAGAAATACGTAAATAATTTAATTTATAATTTGATTTACCATATATTAACACTAATAATATAACTTGACACTTTTAACAATTATCTGTTGACTAAAAAGTATTATCAGGGCCGTATTTAGGGGGGGGGCACTGACTAAAACTGCTCCAAGCGCCAGTTTTTTGGGGGCGCCAAAATTTTCTGGTCGGAAATTTGCTCACTTATGAATTATTGAACTTTTAAAATTATTTTGAAATTATTATTTTTTGTTTTTAATAACAGTATCATAAATGAATGTTAATGTATTTAATATATTAATATATATTATTAATGTACTTTTAGCAATAAAGCCATCAGCGATCGAGAATATTATTAATATACCTAATATTAGTTCTCAAATTTTTTGTTATCGCGTGCGGCGTGCGTACTATACAAAAATAGCATTGATTTTAAAATATCTAAAAGGTTCATGAGAATCTATCTCATATATTTTTCATGGGTAGGTCCCTTAGAGGGGCGCCAATTGTCTAAACACGGCACTGAGATTTGTTATGTTATTGTTAGTAATCTTGATAAAATTATATTACAATTTTTGGAACCGTTAATACTTATCAATAAAGGCTTTTCAAAATAAAAATACGACCGATGAAAATATATTATTCCGTACGTTATCGTCACACAACTATGGATTAACAATCGACTAAATATATTATAATAAAACCATGGAATACAACGGCATCGTCATTACCTTGATCCATGTCTTTGGGCAGCGAGTAACAGCCGTCCACTTTGACGAAATCCACGTTCCATTCGGCGAACGTGAACGCGTCCAGCTCGAGCGATCCCAAGATTCCCGGATATCCAGCACATGTGAAGTTACCGTAGTCCTCGTAGATACCGAATTTCAGACCTCTCGAGTGGATCTGTAAGCATAATAAAACAAATATTTGTTATAGTTGCTCAGAAATTTAGCTCAGAATTGTTCGCGCTACCACGATACGGAGCTTTTTCTAATACGTTCACCAACAGTAATCGGTTTTTATGATTAGTCACGATCCGAACACATATTTAAACACACTATACTATTGTATTATATTGTTATCGTTACGCTCGTGTTAAAATTGGTTAAAGTGGTTAAACTTAAAAGAAGTTAAAACGTAACACCGTTAAAATTATAAGAACTTAACATCTTTCGTTTAGTTTTTGTTTATACTCTAGTATTTTATTCGTTTTCGAAAGTGGAATTATACATCTATATATTAAATCCATATAGTGTGTGTCTTTATATTAAAAAAATACTATTTCGGTTGCTAAATGGTTTTTTTTTAAATTATTTTTGAATTAAACACTTTATGTACTCGTATATCTTAAAACAATATAAAATAGGCTTTTTTTATAAGTAACATGATATATCTACCGTATGATTACCGACCACAACAAAAGCAGTATAATTAGACGTATTCGACAAATATGATGTTACAACAGTAACAAATTTATATATATAAATGTATTACATGCGTTACAAAACAATCTACAAATTAAAAATTAAAAATATTAAGATATCACATTATATGTGAGTACAAACATTAAAATATCATTAGTTGCAAAACTTTCTCTTAAAATATCATTACATAGTGTATTAACAACGTCTTCAGTAATACTGGCTTTTAATACAATAAAATATAATACAGCGTATACCGTGTAATGGCGGTTTTGTTGACCCAAAGAAAGCATGGATAAACAGAGACTACTAATACTACATTATTTTAATGAGTAACGAAGATAAAAGAAAAATAGTATTTTTTTTTACCATTTCCTAAAGCGCAATAGGACTATAAACTAGTAATTATATTAGCTATAATGTACACAATACACAAAGCAGTGTTACAAATCATAAACAGCCTTATGCAATAGAATCATAATTAGACTATTAAAAAACTATGCATAATAGAAAGCACGATTTGAATGAACTGTTTAAGTATAATTCACTGCCGAAATAATCATAATTATTATATACGTATGTACTACGCTGTAGTATTGAATCGCGAACCATAGAGCATTCATGTACGACTACAGTTGTTGTTTTTTTTTTTTAATTAACATAACTCGTAATAAATATTTAAAACCGTGATGGTTCTTTAGATTCCTTAAATAATTTAGATATACAAATAAAAGATAACACAATAATTTAGTCTGTGGTCTGCGTAAATATTTGTTATTGTTATAATAATTTTTAGACCACACGGTTTCAAACATTGCAGCAATACGATTCACTTATATTCGATATAGCTAACACTTTTATTTTCATCTTACCTAATTTGTCTTTAGGAGAACATAATTACTTAAACAACAGTTAAGTAGTATTTTAGAACCATAATTGACTTTGCAAGTTTAAGTAGTGTGTAAATACAAATTTAAGTACAACAATAATAGGTTGAAGTTATAATGCGTTTATATAGAAATTAAAATAATTATCGATATCAATAATTGCGCGTAAATCGGTTTCACCTAGAAACGGTTGAAAACATGTAATTAACACCATCAGTTCAGCAACGTTCCGCGCTAGGTGCATTCTAAAATAGCTAAAATAACGATAGTTAAATAATTTTCAATAGTTAACGCGCAGTGAAATAATCGTTCATTGTTTTTTATAATACGTGCAGAAATAAGCGTATTACTCAGATACCTATTGACCCAGTGTCGATGCCATTATAGGTATTCATTTTTCCTTATCTTAATAATAATAATATGAGAAAGTATTCCGATTCGAACGAGTTATTTTCAAAACATCATAATATTGTAGTATAATATTATTGCGTGTTTGCGAACAATACCGTATGCGTCTACCAAAACGTTATGGCTCTTATGGGCGTTGAATTATTAATACAGCTAGTGTAACGGTTTTACTAAAGTATTGTATTGCGGCACGCGCTTTACTTTTGAAAGTAGACACGTTGAAATGAAAACAATTCAAATGTGCGAGTGCAAATACTAAAAGTGGCGCTGTATAATTGTAGATGTGGACATATAACTCTTTTTGGACTTGGTTGTAACTTCCTCGGGTATATGTACATCGGACTTGACGTGAACACACCGAACTTATACTGGTACATAATGCGTGGTAGGTACGTACGATCAGATCAGAACAATGGTGCGAGGTATAATGACTATAATAACGTATGGAACACAGGCAAGTTCTAAGCGTGTCACCGAGATACGAAACGCGTTTTTTTAGTATTCAAACAGTGAGATGCCTGTTAAGAAATTTTCATTGATTCAATTACGTAATAAGCTCGAATAATAGCACGTTCAAGTAAATAGATAATATAAATATTAAATGTTCGATTATCGTAAAAACATCTGACGTACCAATCGGAATTTCATCACGAGGGAATGTGTAGATCTGTCGAATCGAGTTAAAATTATTTAAAAAAAAAACACTGACGTAGTGCCGCCTATTGCTGCGCTTGTAAATCTATCCCATACGGTATACTTGTAGTACATACATTCGATTCGGCTGCATTTGTTTCATTCGCTGAACTTTGCCACACACGCGTGTAAGCGTCGTGCACGTGTCGTGAATACATCGTTCGCCCCACTGTTGTATGTTCTTATTGTAGACGTTGAGCAACGCGCGCGGCATAAAACAGATAACAAACAGCTGTTACGAGAAATGCTTTACTACTATATTTTGTGTGTGGGTACAATATATTTTCGTTTTCGTTTTTTTTTAATTTTTTTTGTTTATATTTTGCAGCATACCATTACTTATTACATTGAAGTTCGTCGATTACCTTTTTCCGTTTTCCAGAATCATATTCGACATGATACATCTGAGAAGTTATTTTGTGTTAATAAGTCCGCACATAGCAAAAAAACATAACAATGATAACCGTTTGCTTTAATTGTTTTTGGTAAAGTGTTGCATAAGGTTGATATTTATTAAGATGTGCACAGTCATATCACACGTACTGTCGTCGCAATCAGGTTTTTCTTTAAAATTAGTCGAATTATTGTCACGCCCTGGTTCAAATAATTTTTTTTTTTTAAATTATAAAAAAATTCCTTTCTTTTTTCTTTTATTTCAACTATGAATTGACTTTTCCAATGTTTTATATACACATAAAAATAATACAATACAGACGAGTTTTGTAGTTTATTTTCAAAACGGTTGCACCTACTATAGTTTAATATCATTTATTTGCGTATCTTGGGCAACAAAGACAAATTATAATTGTTAAAAATAAAGGGGGCGAACGTGAGTTTAATTGATGTTAGTAATTCGACGTGAAAATTGAGAAATCAATAATAAACGTATTCAATTTGTACCCGCTTTAGTTAATAATTCTATTCATATGTTAGCAAATGAATTTATAGATGACAGTAATATACTAAATACACACAACTGTTATATTAAACTCATTTAATCACCCGCAGAAAGGTTATTTTTATGTTCTTGCACGTAAAAGTAAAACCATTAAACACTTTTTAAAAGCGGTAAAATTAAAAAAAAAGCAATCGAGATATTAAAAGTATAATTAGTCCAACAGACGAAACGTGAAAATAATAATAACTACAATGTAACAATACACTTGCTCCTAATAGTAGATAGTTAATCAAGTTTTGCGAACTACAATTATTATTATTTTAAGATGCCAAATATTAAAAAGAAATTAAAAAATATCGTTTCTCTTATTCTATTAAACATTGATTTGCATGCGGATTTATTCAAAAGACCATTAATTGCTTACCAGTGACTGAGAAATTGAATTTATTCTTAAAAGATTAACACATTAATTACTTTACAAACTCCTACTTAAATTAAATTTATAATAAAAGCTTGTTTCTATCTACATGTACCATTATTATTAAAAACTTTAGACATTTCAAAACTTTCTGGTTGTGCAAATCTTTACTGTATAACATTAATAATTTTTGTGTAATGCAAATCATAAAAAAAAATAAACACAAATTTACTTTTGAATTTTTTCTTTCCTGTATAAAAATGTACTTTTATGTACTTACTATACAAACATAATGCGTGTATAGGAAATGAAATATAAACATAAAACAGTTTTTTATAGTTAAAATTTGAGTTTCGTTTAGGCTGAAAATTATTTTTTTAATGAAATTAACATGAAGAAATATGTATAAATTCAATGAAAATTATTGCCGTTCTAACTAAAAATAAAATTATAGAAAAAAATAACGTTTTCAAAAACACATTATTTAATGAAATCTCACATAAAAAATATAAAATTCTAGTTTACCCATTTTCAATTTGATTGTTGGATTAAGAATAGCTTTTCTTTTATGAACGGAAACGATAAAATATTACCACATACATATGATAATATTTGATTACATCTATTTTGGTATAAAAATGTCATTTCAAAATTTAGTTATTTTATGTTATATTTATGTTTATAAAAAACTACGTATTTCGTCTTGCCTTGATGGACCAGAACAGCGAATCGAAAAAATTACATATTTAAAAAACTTTATAAAATGTCTGTGTTTCAGTAAATGTTTCAGAGTTCTATTGAATTAAAATTGTATAACTCTTAAAGCATTGCAGCTGTAGATCCTCCGTAAGTGGAATTAAATGTTTAATACTTTTGCGCATCGATTCGCTAATTACGTACAGAGTCACGTCAGACGTATAGTTGACATCAACGAAGAGGATTCGAATTGATAGTTTGCAATTAAATCGAGCCGTTGAACTTTAGCTCGTGTCATTATGCTACATCGTTGTCGTTCGCGAACGTACTTTAGAACAGAATATTATTTACATTAGACAGGCACTCACGTATTCGGATAGGTCAGCCATTCCCCTGGGGAACCGTTTGGCGTCGGGTTGCAGTCTGCCATTGTACGACCTTGAGAAGTCCAACCAACAGTCATCCACGTTTATATACTCATAACCTACAGCGGCGTACCCTTCAGATATCACAAGGTCGGTCATGGTCCTGAAGAGTTTCTCGCTGTAACACAAATGAACGGGCATCGTGTGATAACAATAATATTATGACAATAAAATAATGATTAACAAACACACGGTGTATGGTTTTACTGCGAACGGTCTTCCCGGATTGAAAAGCGTATTTCATAATTATAGCATTACACTATACATGCGTTTTTGTCGTGAAACTTAACTACTGTTTTTTCGTAAACGTAGATGCGATCACGCGCTGTGCGCCTTCGAAATTCACGGAAACTCCATTTAATACCTAATATCCCACCATAATTTCTGTATAGTCAAGGTACTATTCATTATTTTCGGAAATCTGCACATAATCGCCTACTATCTCGATGTATAATTTATCAAATTAATATTTATGTTTACTTTCAATTATGTTAAATTAAAGATACTTCAAAAGTGATTGTTTTTTGGTTTTCCGGTGGGTATTAATTACGCAGATGCGCACACGTCATAATATTATATAGACAATAGAGCTAATAGTAGATTTTTTGGTTTAATTACGGTTAACCTTATACACAGATATTAAAACATACATTTATATATCATTAGAGCGTAATAACCTTTAATTATAAAATTTCTTGATTGAATTTAACTTAAGATAATTTTCCAATTTTGTAACACCGTTTAAAGACTTATGATGAAATCCAGTTATACAATGTTTATTTTTAACAACTAATCAGCTCAGTCTATACTTATATACTATATAATACGGATAGTAAGACGCAGAACGATTTATATGAAGCACTAAATAAATTGAATGTGTTTATTGACATTTTGCACGCCACATTCGTCGCACGATATTAGACTAATAAATTCGTATTCGTAATAAATAATACGTGGTCAGCTTTTGTATCGAGACGGTTATAAGGTTTCTCTACAATTCTGATGTATAAAATAAAAGACAGTTAAGATTGGTGACCGCTCATTTATTTTGATTTTCATCCGTATGACAGTTTTATTTGTTTCCAAGTTAAAATTTGTGAAATATTGAATACATTTAAAACGTGAAAAATTTAAATTTAAATATTTGCAGCTGGTAATAGGATGATAGAAAAATGCAAATTTATTTTACTGCCATATAAAAAATGATGGGCGATTATTATAATATCAAGGGAATAAAATGTCAGTATAAATTAATAAAATAAACGTATTTTTCGTTAGACATGTGTATCCTTGTGAAAATAGCGATGAATACTTTTGATGAAAATAAAAACTGTTGAATTATACGTATTTGTAGGTATCTAACAAAACTATTTATATTTGCCTATCAGATAAATAAAGAAAAATGGTTTTTGTTATATACTAAAAGGTAGACCTAGTGATAACTTTTAATCGTGGTAATAACTAAATATTATTATTAATTATTATATAATTGTTTGTCGGTTAGCAAGTTTTTGTTTTCTCGAAATACGTTGAAGCGATTGTGAGTTTATTTTCGAATGCCAGTGTTGTTGCCATGTAAACGTTTCCGTACGATACACAAAATTAATCTAGTGTAGCGACCTAGAACCACAAAAACATTATATCCAAAATAATTTCAATAATATCCATACCATTTTCCTGTCACTGTAACAATCAATAAGGAGGACACGAGCATTATTATTATAATTAATCATATAAGGAGAATGAAAACACTCCATATAGTGTACCTATACAGTCCGGTTCAAGGACTAAGTTCGGCACAACGCGACAATTAAGAGCTACATAATATCGCTATGGTATTATTCCGTTGCCCTTTACGTCACAAAAAACTTTGTTTTCGTCTACCAGAATGGCATTCAACCGATGTGCGGTATCGAATCGTGACTGTAATGTTTTATTTTTTTTTTTTGTTTTTCGCTTTTTGTCAAATAATTCCAATCAGAGAGGTAGAGAGGTCCTCGTCCGAAATGATCACGACGGCGGAACACGTAAAACCTGAACGTAAAACTTGTGTTATTACATTATAAAATTCGGTTTGTTCCTAGTCTAAAGATTCCACTGACGCCTAACAATGGGTTTTGAATATACATACATATTCGTCGCCATTGTCAAAACGTAATCAACTGTGATCGGTGTATCGTCTACTTGCAGAGTTCAGTTTAGTGTGTGTATATGTATTATATATAAATTATAGTCGCTAGTCTTAAAACGTCTGGATCTACCCGTGTATTTATATGCAAGCATAAGTATACGTCTAACAAATATGATACGAAAAATACCAGTTTAGTCGAATGGCCGTCAAATTTAAACCAAATTATATAGTGAGCGATGGCTAAAATGTTCGCTTTCTGTTTATGTTCATTGCTATCAAATCGAATCGCAGAACGTGCAGAACGTCCATAAGCGAAGTGATTTTAAGGGGGCGCATTTAAGAACGTGATACACGTACACACACACTCAATACATTTACTTGTACACATTATAAACATTGCCTACGCGCGTTTTTGTCGTGATCTTTTTTTTTTATACACTAAAAATCGTGACGTCAAACCTATCGATATGTTATTATTTATTACGTTTGAACAGATATAATATAATATTGTAGTAATAAAGAGTTTATTTTATTTTTTAAATATCGGTGAACTATAGAACGATTACACTGCCATAAGACAATTTTTCTGGGCCAGATCGTATAGCAGAACAATCCATTCTGCTGTGCTGTCGTGTATCGTTTATTGATTTCGCACGTTGCATAACCGAAGAATATTTAGCCGATTCCGATCGTTTCCACTGTTTTTAATCATTATACGATGATTTGTATACCTTGACAAATTTAGCAGGAAAAAACAACTGATGACAAAATCTAGGTCAATAATAATTACAGCTGGTAAAAAAATCAACAATAATGACATCTTTAAATAGTTGTTGTTATATAAAACGTAGATCAAAATCAGCTGGACAAATGTCTAGTTACGAAGCATTGATATTTAATAAGTGCATTGCATTTTAACACTCAAGAATGTCTCTAATAGGACCAAAAAGAAAAAAAAATGTAATTTTGACACCATAATAACTCATTAATTCAAATTATTTTCAACCCATAATTACAAAATAAACAATTTATACCGAGTTCCCGAGGACGAATGTCATGATTCATGAACACATTGTTATCGTTATAATGTGTGCTCTTGTACTTGATACATTATTTTGTATTTTGCACTTCCTTAGAGCTCAACTACAGGCTGTATAATATACACGCATATATTATGTCTATGTAAATCTGCCCTTGACATTTATATTGTTTGATTTTCAGCTATTTTATAAATTAACGTGGTGGCATCGAATAATCGTTATGCTAGGTTTTTGACTAATAGTAGATAATTAATTTACAAAAAACTGCGTGTACATAGTAATGTTATTCAGGTCAGAAATAATACATACAGTGTCTAGATGTAATACTTTGCATAAAAACCAATATCTACTCATTTTGATTTCGTAGTTTGTTTCAACCCAACTGGAGATTACCACAAGTAACTGTGTAGGTTTTTAATGAGAAATTTCCACTTGAAAAGTACATAAAATTATCGTATTTTTACTATCGTAAAACGGAAAACAGAAGAAAGAAATTAGTAAAAAGCTCATAATATCATTATCATTGATAACTGAACCAAGTTGACAATTAGATTGTCTCGCTTATAAGGTAAATAAAATATATTTATTTTTGCATAAAATATTCATTAAGTAATTGAAAACTAATTTTAAATAGTTCTTCGAATTGTTAACTTTTTTTTTACGGAGTGCAAATTAATTTCCGGAAAGAAACCTAAATATATCAATTATATTTTTTAAACGAAAAAGTTATCAACTCTTAATATAATATCTGTGGGAAAAGTAACTTCAGATTTTGATTATTATTTATTTAAACTAGTTAATAAATGCATAAGAAAAACTAACAAAATGTGGCGAAAAACAGAAATTTTTAAGAAATCCAAATTTTAACAAAATATATTTAGTTTATTTACATCATTTTTATCATAGTTATATAATTGTGGTATATAATATTATACTGATATTAAGTACGCGTTCCCTTTCAATACTAATCAAACAATAAAATAATCTACCTAACATGGATAATTTATTTAAAACTAAATTACACATACTTATTTAGATTCTAAAAAATCTTGGTGGATTTGTTTATAATTACCTAATACAGTTATCAGGGTCGTTTTTGCAATCGGTATTGCATCTGAATCTCTCCCATGACAACCATCCCATAGGAGGTGTCCTGGCCAATCCATTTTCCAGACAAAAACAACTTGTCAGCAGTTGAAACACCGTTAAGGCTGTTATCCATTGAAAAGCTGCCATATTGTATACCTGCAAACACAGCAAAAACCGGCCGGAAATTAATTACACCATAACGTCTATTGTCTTAAACACTTGATATATTAGTAAAAAAAACAGTACTGTAGGCACATGCATTTACGTAAACTGAGGTTAGAAAATTTTTCTTTATTTTTTTTTTGTTAACAATACGACAATCATCTATCATCGCGTATCAATAATACACGCAATTTTTAGATGAAATACTCAGAAGGACAAGTTGATTTATTAAATATGTGTCTTAACTTTCTGTAATGGTATTTTAGTTATAATCTTATTTTATAGCTTTCATATGGTACACACATACCTAATGCATTTTCTGTATACTACCATTATATTCATATTCATCAGATTATGAAAATCAATTTTGATGATTAGAAAATATTTATTTTAATAAATTTCTTTAATGTTACTCAATTATTTTTCATCTGCGTGTTTCTATAGATATTCAAGTACATCTACCAATATAGTACACATATTCTGATATTTTTGTTATGAATATTGTTGATTATGAAATTTGAAGAAAGAAAATTTGCCTCCAAATCTCCAATTATTTAGAAATTTTATATATACCTATTTTTAGAATAGTTATTTCATTTTTGTTCAAAATAAAAATAAATGTAAATGTCTTAAGTTGTATTCCATTAGTTTTAATATTGTTTAAATATCGATACAATAGTTTTTAATTAATAATAATTTTACATTATAAGAACTTGAACATTTTTAATACGATGTGGTATTCAATTTCTACCAGGAATTTGAAATAAAGTAGTATAAGGTCGAAGGAATGTTATCAAAAATACTCACATATTTTGACATACATGTAAGAATTAAATATTTTATTTATTATTGTTGTTTTTATAATAAAATAAAAAATTATTAAAAAAAAAACGAATTAAGTAATCGAATTGGTACCTAACCTATATACATTAAATAAATTAACAAAATTTAACCGGTTTTCATATATGAAGGTTACACGAATTGTGCATTTGTTTTGTAGTAATGATATAATAAAATCGAAAGTAGAAAATAAATAAATTTGAAAAATATAAGTACGATGTTCGATAATGAGTGAATAAAATGTATTATATGTCAATAAACACGGTTAAACTATGATTGTAAATAAATAATATTTTGATAGGTTTTCACAAACCAAAAAAATTATTTTATAATAAAAAGATTAAAGGTCAACATTTCAATGAGAAATTATTGGTAAATCTACAACACACAGTTTTTTATATGTAATTCAGTAAACCACAGATGGGTGAATTGTTTCTCATTGTTTTGAAACCTAATAGACCAAGAATCCGGTAAGAATATTGTCTTCTATTCAATAATAACACTAATCGATTAGATGTAGTTAACAAAAAGTTTAAATAATGGAAAAGATTTTTTTCAAAATGACAAGTAACTTTGACATATTTTAACCGAAATTTAAGACATTAGCTGATAAAAATGGTCGAAGTATATTTTTCAAGCTTTATTTGTTGTAAAAACTCTTTAGGAGATTAGATATTTGTTATAAATTGAAAAGCAATGGTTTTTTATAACTTTTGAAGATTTTCGTGAAAATCATAAATAAAAAAATGTACTACGCACGTATTTCGAAAATGAGTAAATTACATACGCCGGTGAAGTGAGGAAATATTTTAAATATTTCTACACGTTTAAACATCACGTCCGAAAAGTATAAAACTTTTTACCCGAAAACTTGCATAAAAATCATATTCTTCTGCTATGGTTTATTTACACAAACACTCTTATAACGCGTTCACGTATAGATTAGCGAGCGAGACCGATGTAGAACATTTTACATAGAATTTCCATCGAAATCCGGTCATTTTCATACATATCAAAGCGTACATACCTATAAGCATATATATAGATGTGTGTGTGTGTGTGTGTGTGTGTGTGTGTGTGTGTATGGTTGTTTAGAAAGCAACTGACTCGAACGCGTCAGTCATTTTATAAAATTAACTCATTTACGAATATAACACAGGATGATGCGTGAGTTTTCTTTCTTTGTTATTATTATTTAAGTCGTTTCACGTGCGTAAGATCAGTGAAAACGAACGACAAGATAATAGAAAAAATATTCCTATGTATATTGCATCAGATAATACGTCGATGCTGAAGGTTCACGCGTAAGAACGAAAACATCTAGGTCCGCACCTATGTTCCCTCGGTCGTGTTATAGGAAAAATAAACAAAAAAATAAAAAGACCGATCAGAAATAAAATCATAAATCAACAGTAACGTACGATGTCACTAATAACAAGAATAATTATCTTCGTATATCAGTGGAGTGCCGAATATAGGTCTAAATGAAGCCCGGGCATTAAGTTAAAAAGAGGTGGGTGGTTGTTGGATAATAATATGTAAATCACATAATTATCGTATATATTTAGGTAGAGAAATATTGATATATGAGTTCTGAATGAGATGAATTTAAATATGAATGGGTGGGTGGTAAACTAGACTTTGCAATTGGCATCAAAAAAAATTTTATCTCGGCACACTGTCGTATACATCCCCGGGGGAGTGATGCGTGAGAATGGCAAGTGATTGTTGAGCCGCGGGACAGGTTATACGGTACAAAAGATGATCTTTTAACGGACATTTTTTCCGAGATACGAGGAAAGTGATCCACGACGTAAACGTACGATGACCATCTGAACGTATGTCGAGCTTACTTCGGACGAAAATGAAGCCTGGGTATTTTCCCGCGTTTTCATCACGTCGAATTAACTTAAATAGGTATAACGTATAGTCGTCTTTACCTGCGCGCGCGTCGCGTGTTGCGTTCAACGGATTCGGATGTTCAGTTATCCTCGTCGTGACGTGGGATCCTGGTCGCACAATCTTCGGGTTGCTGGTCCGGTCAATCGGTCATAGTCGCCGATAGACGTGTGTGTGTGTGTGTACGCGCGTAAGACGACGATGGAATTCTGAGCACCTCGACAAAGGTCCTGCTCGTGTTGCGCTTTCGACTAGGATTCCGGTGCTACGTTACATTCACGCACATCGTCGTCCGGTGTTCCGGTGCGCTGCCCGACCCGATACGATATGACCAACGCGATACGAGAGACGATGGTCGCTGGGTGTGCTGTTTGCGGTCGCGCGTGCTTGGAATGGCGGCGGACAGCGAATGTGACGTGGTGCGCTCGCGACGACGGTGACCGGCGGACTGTGCCGTCTTGGATGTGCGCGTCGACCGGTCGCGGCGGAGCGCGCGCGCATTCGCGGACTGGTTCGAAGTCCCCCTCGACGACGATCGTCCCCCCCCGCCGCCGACGCCTTCGCGCCCGGATAAGTTTTCTGGCGAAAATTCCCGAAAACCCGAAAAGTCCTTGGACCGTCCCACGAATTTCACGTTCGGTCCGACAAACGTGCGCGCGGGGTTCGTTTTTTTCGTTTCTTTTTTTTTTTTTTCGTGCCGCTCGTTCGGTACCACGACCGGTTTTCGGATCCAAAACATAGGTAGGTTACCGCGACAAGAGAAGAATCCCGATGTCCCGAGGTGTGCGGGAGGGGGAAAAAATTAATATTAAAAAAAATATCCATACCCATCCCGACCGGATTCGATTTTTCGACTAGGAATCAATTAACACATCTTTCGTGTGCTGCAACCTCTCGTTTAACAACGTGGTGTGCGTAGAATTTGTGCAAGGGTATTTACGTGTGTGTGTGTGTGTGTGTGTGTGTGTGTGTGTACGGATCCGCGCGCCTTTCTCGCAAACGCGCATACGTCGTATCCTTGGATTTTAAATTTTAAATCGCTACGCTTGTAACATACGTACGTCGATTTATTTTAATTTTTCATTTTTTAACGCACCAAATGACTTATTGCTCTCGTACGGTCTTCGTTGTACATATTGCGTGTGTACAATATACGTTTATTGGTCGTCATTTTATGGTCCGGGGAACAATATTATTGCGTTCTGCCTCGGAGCCGCAAGTGCGTGCACCTGTTTACTCGAACACCGCGGACTCTTGATCTTGTATAGGTACATCTCACACGCGTCGTGTACGCGCAATATTATTTTAACTAATAACCTACATCAACGCAGACAAGCCGACCGCTCGAGTACATTTCAAATTGACAACCGCCGATGAGTTTTCACCTGAACTGTCTCCCTAATTACACGCGTACTATATTAGCACTATGATTGTATGAATAATGTAAAAAACATGACAAACGGCACGACTTTTTTCTTTCTGTTCACCACAAAACACCTTGAAAATTAGTAAATAGATCTACTTACCGTTACGTTACGAAAAATATGCAGATTTAGTCGTTAAATATTTAATTGTTCGTAATGACAATAAACTAGATAATAAATAAACGGCAATATTTTACAAACCAATCTTTACATTTATTCACTTTTATAAAAAAAAATATTGTAGGTCACCTAAGAATTAAAATAATTTTTTCAATCGCAATACCTCCAATTAAAATTATAAATTAAATATAACTAAAAGTTAGAAAGCCCCATCGTTGTACTACGCTTTGACATTGTATATAATTTACAATTAAAATAAAAAAATGTTATTATTACTTTAATTTTTATAGGCAGCATTTCTGTTTGGAACATGAAATATATTTCATATTTAACGATATTGCGAAAACTTTTTTTTACATGTTAATACGCAATACTTCTATATTTGTTATGCCTCTATTCTTACGCCCGGTTTCATGAAAGTCTACGGAACCGATAACTAATTATCAATTCGATAAATCTAAAAACTGTACTGTAAATTAGATTTGAATAGATTTGAATTATTTATTAATTTATTTATTTTTTTTTTTTATTATATAATATATGGCTTCTATGGCCATTGAACGTTACAATTTTTTTTTAACTTAATACATAAAATAAACAAATAGGTTGGTGCAGGTTGGTCACAGGAGACCGATGAGGTGCGTATCCGTGAGGAATTGGCAGAGCCTGACGATATTTTCAGGTTTGGGGCTTAGTGATTCTGCCAGGTGATAAGATATCTGCTGCTTTACTCTCTCCATATTGTGTCCGTTACATTCGGTGATAATATATTTGATTGTAAGAGGGACTCCACAGCAGAATTATTTATTTGATACCTTGTAGATTAGATTTATGTTTTGTACAATTTGGAGAGTTGTTTAAGATTCTTTATCATATAACTTCAAATATGTTATTACTTAAAATTGTTGTTATTTTTTCATTTGTTTAACAATTATTAATTTTATTTTATTGTATATTATTGTTTCAAAACATTTTAAATTTGAAAAATTTATTTCAATGTTTTTGGCATCCTCATCCGATGATTCCAGTGAAGACATTCTTCAAATGTTAATTAATCTATCAAGACTTAGGTGGTTTAAGGATAGGTCAAATCCTTTCCAGGACTATGATGACAATTGACAAACAATACAAAAAATAACAGTTTAACAAATAATTTACCAAAACATGCTGAGTACCAGATAATTGGTTATAACCTGATTATTTGATACAATTCATAACACTTTTATGAAACGCTATTTGTTCTATAACTTCTATTATCTTACAATCGATATATTATCGGCCCAACAGTTAATTATTTATTAGAGTCTAATTGGAATTTGCACTAATTGTCTTTGCCGAGGTTTTGCAAAAAAAAAAAAACCAAAATGAGTGCGAAAGCTCGAGTACAGTAAGAAATTTGCATTGTTGTATTCATATGATATGCAATCTAAACTATCAATATGAACATTTAAGTTGAATGTGAAAGATTATAATTTTTTCATATTACTATACAAGCTTATGCAATGTAATATTTCAATATTTGTTCAATGTTTTAAAATGTCAATGTTAAATTCTTTTGTCAATTTAATATCTAAATGCAAATTCGTTCGTTGTAATGTCAAACCATTTGTATGAATCGTATGAATTTTATTTTAAAAATTAGTACGTATAGGAGAAACAATAATATTACGATTTTTTTTTACAAGTTATAGAAATAGCTTCCACTATAGTAATTTATAAATACATATGACTAGATATATTTCAACATTTTTATTACTTCGGTATACGCATGCATAATACATTATGTGTTTATTTTTAAATTTCAATACCATTTACTGGTAGGCCTAATTTTTAAAGTAATATTGATCAATAAACTATGATTCTAAATTTAAAATTGACTGAATAAGAGTTATTTTGGTTTAAAAATATAATAAAATATAAAATATAAAATATAATAAACGTTTACGATTTAAAATGTATAAAATCATTTATAATTATTTGTTATTGATTTATTTTTAAATATGTTTTAGCTATTTTTTTTTTTTTTTAAACATATTATAAACAGGATTAACATAATATAGGTACGAAAAAATGTATTAAAAATTGATAGCTTAACCAAATATCATGGATTCAATTGAATTTAAGTTATAACTTGAAGTTCTCTAAGTTTATTAATATTATTTACTCTAGAATATTGGTTACGAACTACTTTTACAAAAATGCTTCATAGTTAATCAATAATTTTTCTATTTTAATAAAAAGTGTGTTCGATGGATAATACCGACTTGGGTATTGATCAGCATACATTTCTACTAACTGACGAGCATTTCTATTGCGTTTACGATAAAATAAAATAATTTTTCCTTTTTCTTGGTTGTTCATTTCAACTTAATAAAACCACTCATACAATAACAATCAAAACTAAAATAATTCACTTCATCCAAATTTTAAAGTATAACGTATATTCAAAATTAAATTATCTGAATAACTATGCCAATTAAGATTATCTTATTTAAAATCTCGATAAATTTATATTTTATAAATAACTGCTCTAATTGATTTTTAATAAATAATTTTGTATCCATATTCTGTTAATTTTTTTAATATCATGTATAAAAAAAATTAAAAATATTAAAAAAGGAATCAATAGTAAATAATTAATAATTAATTATAAATGGTTGTATACATTTTAATGAATCGTAAAAATGTATTATTTTTGTAAATTTAAATGGATTTTATTCAGAAAATTTTGAATTTAGAACCATAAATACACAAAAATGATTTTAAAAAAATAGGCCTATCCGAATAAGTTTTGGTAATAAATATTGCTATTTAAAAAAATATATATTGTACGGCGCATATGTATGCTGAAATTATAAAGATTTTGAAATGTGTTGGTAAATATTTATTCGTATACTACTAGCTTGTTAAAGAAAACAAATTTAATTATTTAAATTTAATCCGACCGAGACGTTCTGTTTTCCTAAAATTGGTTAATACATGGTATATATACTCGTATGTATAGCTATTAATAAAATACATACAGAATACATTTAATTTCATCCAATGCACGCGATTCGAATTAAATTTGAAATCGCATATTATTTAATACCGACTTCAGGTTGAAAACTTCGTGTAACAGACTTGTACAAGCGGTGCGTGCATTTGGATACTATGATTTATAAGTAATTTAGCAAATTTAGTAATAATTATAGTATAATATAAAAAATGAATAACACCGATAACGCCGTTGAATGATATACGTTTTTTATCTTTGTGTTATTATTTTACCAAGTAAATTGTATCACGTATACACTGAAATCGTGTAAGCCCGTGACCCGCTGTAAAATCGTGCTTCATTTTTGAAATAAACATCATGAGTTCATGACTGTACAGTGTACACGTTATTTTGTGGAGAAATAAAGTCGAAAAAAGCACGCCAACGAACAAGGAAAGTTTTGCAATTCCCAAAAAGCTCATACTAAGCTGTTCCCCTCTCATACGTGGTGATGTGAGTATGCGTAGGTGTATTCATACACACATTTATGCAAATTTATACAGGATATCCCACAATGATTTATCAACTATATGATAATAAATATATTTTATGTGTATTTTATTGGACTAAGAATTATAATTTTGATTAAGTTGTTAAAAAAATTACAGAAAACACGCAGAAGTCTTTTAATAAATTTAAAATATATGAGTATGGTTATCGAAGAAAATTATGATAACATAATAACATAATATCAAAATAATAACACAGAATGGGTATTAGTATACTTGAAGTGTTTACGTACTGACTTTTCAAAATAAAAAATGTGTTCTCAAAATCAAAATTTCTAAAAAACACAATAAAACAAAAATATATGTAACAATTTAACTACTAATTATATTAATATTAATATTATGATTAATAATGTGCTCTGAATAGGAGTTAGAA